CCCCCCACCACTCCCACTCCCACTCCCACAAGTTCATTCGTGCACAGACGTTGTAACTCGAGAAATTGTGTACATTTTTCCCGTCTGTAGGACAATGGGTTGTACCTGTAATCGTCAACTGATAGTAGGACATTTCAACTGCGCTAAGTCCAATGGTTTTTTCTCTAGTTGGTTTTTCCACGTAAAAAAATTTAATGCCATACCTCTATCTGAGTGTCTATTGGATTTTCGGTCTATGCATCAAGTGGTATCATGATGTTTACTTCATTTTTTTTAAATTTTTATGCTAGTTTACATTTTTAGAAACTAGCATTAAAATCATATTCAATATTTTCATTAAGATAACCTTTTAGGCCCCAATTCACCCTCCTATTGCGATGCCATAATCATGTTACCATTAGAAGAACGGAATCTTTCTCTTGAACTCATGTCAAGAAGACGCATCACCTCCAATTCGGAGATCTGCATAAATCAATCATCCATTTGTTACCTAACTGCCTGACATGCATGATGATGGTGAGGGAGGCTTTTGGTCATTCCATATTAGTTTTTAAGCAGGAATAACATTGTTTGATGCTTAAGCATTGCTTGATGCTTAACACTGATGAGCTTCAAAGCCTCAAAATTTAAATACTCATTTCAGAAGAGTACTTTAAATTATCAAATAAATTCGAAGAAATGCTTAAGCAGCAGAAATTGCTTAGTCCTAAACAAGCCTAAACTTATGCTCATATTCACGATAGCTCTCAATGAATATAATTAAAAACTCATATTCATTTTAATACTGAAAGAATACAAGTGGATGTCATATCAAATAGATGAGCTTAATTGCAACTTACCCCAAACAAAATCAATACCATTTTTTTTCTGCGAGGATTAAAAAACAGACATTTTTATTGCTATTTTAATAAAACGTCATTTTTATAAAAACATTTCTGAAGTTGGCACCTATAAGATGAGTGCTGATAATGTTGTTGGCGCTGATAAGGATTGTCCACGGTCATAAAAAATACAATATGAAAGTTACTAGCTATATATATAATTAAAAAACCATGCTGATGCAGGCTACTACAAGTTTTTGTTGTTGGCGCTGATAAGGATTGTCCACGGTCATAAGAAATACAATATGAAAATTACTAGCTATATATATAATTAAAAACTATGCTGATGCAGGCTACTACAAATTTTACAAGTTTTTACTGAATCTTGACTAACAAGAAGTAATATAATGCAAGTGAGGGTGATTAAAATGACTTCTGATGGACGTGATGTGTTGGGGAAGTGGCGACGTCCTAAGGGCAGTGCCTCGGCAACAACGATGGTGGTGATCCTGTAGTAGTGATGACTATATGGCAATGTTCTACAGCGACAATGATTTTTCAATTGAGGTGGCCAAACATCAATGATTCGGTGGTGGCGATAGTGGTGGTCAAGTGATCATAACGCGGTTGTAGCCAGATGACGAATGGTTGTTCGATGGTGGTGACAGTCAGATACAATGATGATGGTGGTGGTCGGGAAATTGTTGTCTGACAACAACGGTGATGATGGTGGTGGTGGTCGGGCAACAGTGGTTTATAGTATGCTAGTTGGGCATTTGAGGACCACTAGCGGTGATGAAAATCTAGCGACGACGATGGTGGTTCGATAGTGGTGATAACGGTGGTGGTCGTCCAACAGTGATCTCACAGTGGCAATAGTCAGACTGTAGTGGCCTGACAACAGTGGTTCGACTGTGGCAACAGTCAGACTATAGTGGCCTTTCAGCAGTGGGTCGGCAGTGGCGGTGACGCTGGTTGCAACTGGATGACAGTGGTATGGCGGCGACTGTCGTTGAGCCAATGGTGGCAGTGGTCTGGTGGTGATGGAACTCAGGAACCCTCAAGAGTTTCAAGCTCTACACAGATCACTGGAGAAAATAATAATTTTAGTATTCATGTTAAAGTTGATTTTTAGGTCAACTTTAGAATTTAATTGAAGATGGTTTTATTTGGTTCTATTTTGTTTTGGTTGGTTTCAATTTTTGTTTGGTTAGTTTTTAGTTTAGGTTAAATTAGGGATAACTCAAGCTTGAGCTCTTAAGATACAAGTTAAAGCTTATCTGAGTTCAATTCATTCATCGTGTGATACTGGGTTTATTTTTTTGTCCCGATATAATTGTATATATAAGTAGTGGGGACCCCTCAACTGAGGATTTAGAGTCTCCTTCTACTCGTAGTATAGGACCCAAACCATGTACACATGCTATCCCCAGAGTCTCCACATATAATGCTCCTCATCAGCTTATCAAGCATGACATTTATATGATCCACAATAGGAAGGAATTGAGAAAGCCATGTTAGGTCATTCTTCTTTCACTTTTTTGGCATAGTACAATCCATGACCATCCTGGATGATGACAGGTGTTGGACCCTTCATGTCTTACAATGATGGGAATAATGCCAATTATCACACTGATTCCACCATTTTCACAAAAACGAAATGTCGTTGATAATTGTCACCACTATAGCTACATATGAGACGGTACATGTTCAGTACTATAGTGCACTCACCCGTAATGGAGATGGAGCACATGTTTGAGGATTTGGAGCAGCGTTGGCATCATTTTTGTGGCAGTTCACTGGGTGCCCTTGCCAATGCACGTCAGCAAGTCCAGTCATTAATTCTGTCGGGACATCCTAGTAAATGCTAGTGGTTTATGTTTATATTAAGTTTGTTTTTTTTTTATTTTGAAAAATAGCTTTAACATTAAAATTTAATTTTCACATCACATATTCAAATTACATATAACATTTAGTTTAAATATGTTACAAATTTACACACGTACGCACACACGCAGATAGAGGGAGAGAGGGAGTGCATGTAACTCGCATAATTATAGAAGATAGTATTGATTTCATACAATATGGTACAGCAAAGGAAGAACTCTATAAAAAATGCATTATAAATGTTACCATGAAAAATTGAAGGGAGGAACTAGAAAACGTGGCACTTATGTTTTTTTATGGCAATTCACATTCAATACTAGCTTAATTTCTGTAATCAATCTCATCATTAGATGCCATTGATGTTAAATTTGCCTTGCTATTTGCACAGTTACATGACTGATTCCTCTTCAAATTTTGGAGCTCACTTTGGCTTTTTTTTTTTTAATGAAAAATTGATAGTTCTTGAAGTGTTAAATTTGCCTTGCTATTTGCACAGTTACATGATTGATTCCTCTTCAAATTTTGGTGCTCACTTTGGTTTTTTTTTTTTTTAATGAAAAATTGATAGTTATTGAAAGAAATTATTAGATAAATAAAAAATTGCACACACACAGGCGCAAATATGTCTTTCTCAAATTCAGATTTTTACTTATATGGGAGGAAAAATTGGTTTTGCCCCACCTGAAATATCAGTTTTGTCTCCCCTTAAACATCATTTTTCACTTTGTTGCCCCAGCCCTCTCACGTTAGGTTTTGATTCTGCCCCTAATTATGCACACACCGAGAAGGAGAGAGCTGAGTTTCTGTGTGGGTGTGAATTTCAATGATAGATGGTTATGTTGGCATCCTCCCATGCTAAGAAAGTCATGTCATAACATTGGGCTGTCATAAATAACACAATTGAATTTTATAAAGAAAACTTATGTTATCAAACTTTAAATATAATAAAAAGATGTGAAGTAAATTATAGGATCATATATAATGTAGTAGCTCTTAGCTCTTAATGCTAGTCAACGATTCCCAATATTGCTAGACCACTCTAACAAATGCCAATTGTTCAATCCCCTCCATCATCTGAGAAAGAATTATTCCAATTGCTTCTAGTAAACTCTTCGCCCTACTCTAACTTAGCACTCTATGAGGATCTATAAAAGCTTTAGCCACCCATTGATTGCCGGTCATCTAATGACCTCTTGCCATGAATGAGAAATTTGGTCCAACACAAGGGCAAAATTCTCTTAAAAATGAAAAATATTACTATAGATCATCAGACTTTAAAAAGAAAAAAAAAATCTTACAATACAAAGAAAAAAGAAATTCTTATTGAACGTAGGCCTGCCTCTAGTCCAAAATTCTTTCATTAGAACCATGCAGATTTACTCTTGGCTTTTATCCTCCACCACAATACAGTCTTCTTCTCATTGTAATGGCCTATTCGAGTTAGTTTCTTACTACATTATTTTCATATTTACACCATACACCTTACAACCAGTTTAATTAATGTTTGTAACTAAATGAAAAGCTATTATTTGACTTTATAAGGAAATTTTTATCTTGATACCCATAACAACTCTTAAAAAAATTACTTTAATCACAACACCCTTATAATCTCCTTTCTAAGACTTTTAGCTACTCTCAATAGAACCTTAACTGATTTATATTGTATTAATATAATATTAATAATGAAAATTTATAGCACATTTCGCAAATTTTCATGAAAAATGTTCATTTGTAATTTAGTACTTTAAGTAATGAACATTATCCTAATTGATAAACCCATTAATATTTCACTTGAACATTTTTGCATAAAGTTATTTATGTTTTATTATTATTATTATTATTATTATTATTATTATTATTATTATTATTATTATTATTATAAAACAAACTTCACTAAATGGCAAAATGAGAGCTGAAAGAAATTTAGGTCACAAACGGAACATGTTCAGATTTAAGTGTACTTATATGATTATACCTTTAAGTATATCCTGAGCACACCCTGAACATATATGATACTCACATATAGGAAAAATTATTCCATACGTACACCGGATACAAAGATGCATGCAGTGTTCGATCTACACCGTCGATGACAGATCTCCATTGTCGACCAAAAAAAAATTTTTTATTTTTAAAGTTAAAAACAGGGTCCACTGAAATACATCTTTGTGGTAATCGACGGTGTAAATCGGACACTGCATGCAGAATTGAATAATTTTTCCACGTATAGATCATGCAAATGTAATAAATTTTCTTAAACATAACTAGCATGTATGACGAACCCTAGCGGCCCAAATTTATCATATTGCAGAGAAGACATCCACTTCTTCTTCCTCCAACACGTAATGCATGAACTCCTTGTCTTGCAGCAACGCCTCCATGGTTTCCGGCGCAAGGCAAACCTCCAGATCCACACTCCCTCCGCCTCCTCGCCCAGGAAACGCCGATATCTTCCCATCAAACTTATTCGCCCTCCCACTCCTCACCGCTGTCGGCTTTCCCCACCCAAAATCATTCCTTTCATACATCGGAAATCTCGGCGAGCTCCCCATTGTCAGCCCCGATCTGTCTGGATTCCCTAACGGAAAACAGCTCGGCTCCGCCTCCCACTCCGCCACCCTCTTCCTTATCAACTCATCCCCGTGAGCCGCCACGTTCTGGTGAAGCAATCCCGCAATCCAACTCAGTTCTCCCGCCGCAACTTCCTCGACTTCTAACGTCGTCGGAATGCTCTGTATCGCGTTGCCGAAATAGCACTCATCCATCGCCGGAACTACTCTTCGACGACAGTTCACCGCCATGCGGAACGTCGTCGGCATCGATGCTTGGAGGTACGTTGTCCTCGCGCGCGTCACCGATCGCCAGAGCTGCGCGCAAAGGGATTGGAAGGAGGATATCTCGTCCGATTGTTTGAAATTTTTTCTGTCGTGAACGAACTTGGCGTACGTTTCGGCGTTTGGGGAGGAGTTGTGGTTGTTTGCTTTGGATTTCAGTTCTTGAATTGATGCACGGCGGAAATGGAATATTCTTTCTCTTATCGGCGCGTCGACCGCGAAGGTGACGGCTGGGCCGTTGCCGTTGGGGAAACGGAGGACAGCGGTTGAGCCGGCGAAGAAGTTGCGGGTAAAATTTGGGGGGCGAGAAATGGTGGAGGAACAACGACAGGATTCGGCCCAAACATTGAAGAAGTTCCAAAAGGAGGTGCCGTCGACGGCAGCGTGGTTGATGGTGCAGGCAATGAAGACGGCTCCGTCGCCGAGGATGGTGAGTTGGAATGAGGAGAGTGGGAGAAAATGGCCGTCGTGGCTGACGGCAAAGTCGAGGGGGAAGAGGTTTTTGATTTCGGGGGAGACGTCGGAGGAAGGGGGGAGGAGGAGGGGGATTGTTAGGGAGGGGGCGTTAGCGAGGGAGAACTCGGCGCCGGCGTCAGTTGAGGAGATGAAGACGTGGCCGTCGGCGTCGGTGAAGAGGCAGCCAGCGAGGGGAGGAAAGCATGCGAGGGCTCGGGAGAGAGAGCTGGTGAGGAGGGAGAAAAGGGGTTGGATGGGAAGGGGAGGTGGTGGGAAAAAGAGGCCTTTCTGAATGTAGTGGCAAGAGAGCATGGGGAGATCGGAGACGGAGAGTTTTAGGTCCGGCAAGGTGGATTTTTTATCGGGGAAAACGGTGTGTTTGGAGAGTATGGTGACGGGGGAGGAGGAGTTGTGAGAGAGGAGGGAAGAAGACATGGTTGGAGCGGCTGTTATGGTGTTAGCAAGTTGATCGAGGCTACGCACGTACTGGTCTTTTTATTTTGTGTGCTGGAGACGAAGTTGGAGGAAGTTTATATAGGGGAGGGGAAGGAGGGTATGATGCATGCATTTTGGGAGTTTTTTGTCTGCCTTTTTTTTTTATTTTTTTTATTTTTTTACTTTTTTTGTCTGGATGGGTGGTGTAGCTGCTGCTGCGACGAATCTTTAGCTGATCGAAAGAGAGAATGGGATGAAAATATTAGCATAGATACGGAGTAGGGTTATATGCTTATGATTTGATGGTTGATGCCCTCACCAATGTGAATGAATGCTTGGCCATGGCTAAGTGGACATTTTTTCATAGGACATTAGACATAATTTTGATATATTAATAAATATATATATATATATATATAGAGAGAGAGAGAGAGAGAGAGAGAGAGATTTAGTGTGTTTATGTATGTATAAAAGTATAGATGAATGGATATGTATATACACTATTAGAGAAGGTTTTTGGCAGCACTTATCTAGAAATAATTTTAAAAAATACTGCTAAAAATATTTTAAAAACATGAATAATTTATTTAAAAACACTGCTAAAAGGTAATTGCACCGTTTAAAATTCATTGTAAAGAACATAGCAGGGGGTTTTAACGCATGTGTTTGTGTTTGTGTGTGTGTGCGCTCGCGCGCGTGTGTGTGGAAGTATAGATGGATGGATATACAAATAAATAGACCTCGACACGCCTTACATCTTTAAGAAAGAGGTGAGCAAGTACTGGTTGCATCAATATGACAAGTTTTATTCTTATAAAGAGGGATAATATTGTATAGTATTCAATTAAATTATATTTATATAATAATATATCAAATTGTTTATGTTCCAATACTATTAACTGATTTTTGAAAATACAATATAACAATTGATTTATTTAATTTTAGATAATTTTGTTGTAACATGTGAAATTTATTATATCTTGAGTTGTCCACAGTTTAATAATACATATTGATTTGTATTATAATTAAAATGATGTGAATTTATTATGATAATTTATTTGTATAATATTTTTAAATGATTTGACATTCAGAGAAAATGATTCATTAGATTGGACTTTTATAACCCTAGCCACAGTTTCAATTCTTTGAATTTGATCTTTCCCATAGATTTGAGGCAAGTCTGATAATTTTAAGACATCAAATGTATTTACTTGATCGTTCTCTTTCAAAATTATCTTCCCTTCATATACATCAATAATTGCTCTACCAGTACTTAAGAATGGTCTCCCAAATATCACATTCATTCTCTTATCAGCTTTTCAATCTAGAATTATGAAATCAATCATGAAATTAAACATATCCATAGTAATAGGCAGTCTTTCAACTAAGCCTAAGAGATGTGCCACAGATTGCTCAACCAATTGAGGTGTCAGATTTGCAGGCTCAATTTATCCTCTCTTAAGTTGTTTGAAAATGTTTAGAGGCATGAGATTGACACTGATTCCCAAATCATAGAGTGCTTGTCCTTAAAATTTTGTTCCTTTAACATAAGGGATGGCGAAACTGCCATGGTCTTTTCTGTGCTTTGTAGCCTTTGAGGGAACGGGGGTAAAAGTCTTTGAGTTGGGTCAATCAGGATGATGGAGGAAACTTTTCCTAAGGCGGGTCTTGTAGATCAATTATCGTCCAGAAAGCTAGCTTACTTTTCTACTCCAGTCCTGATTCCTACTACTTTGCACTACTCCAAATTTTGATCTTTTGGATTTACCTCAATATTACTAGGCAGTGCATTTGGGGGTCTATTGTTCATTTAATTTACTAGCTATCCTAGTTGAATTTCTTGATTTTGGATGGCTACAGGTTGACTCTATAAAGTGTTCCCTACTTGTATCACTAACTCCTCAATAAATTACTTGTTTTGGGTTTTGGAGTTACCTTGGAATTCTGGTAGATATTCTGATTACTGGAATTGATTTTTTGGTGTTTGTCAACTTTCTATGCGGTTGTTCTGATTGTTCCTCCGATTCTGGTTATTGTTATTCCAGAAGAAATTTGGGTGGTTTCTCTAGTCTGGGTTGTAGGTGTTGGAATGGGGGTTATGTTTATGATTTCCTATGTCATTTACAGTTTCTAAGGCTGAGATGCTAGGATCTATCTTCAGTCCTTGAATTATCCCGTCGTTGAGTGACAATCTATACACCAAATTCATCCACAAACTATCTATTTTTTTAGAAATTACAACTACTTGTGCAGTCAGGATTGCATTGTGTTAGATCACATTGAATTTGTATGTGTTACAATTGCAGGTGTAAAAAGTATTATTATGAAGAAAAATTTTGATTATTTTCTAGTTTGACATATTTTTGATGAGTTTACAATGGAAATCCAACGACTCTCAATAAATTTATCGTGTAATGTGACATATAATTCTTGCCGGTTAGTATACCAGTCTAAAACTTATGGCCCTTCGGTGGGCTATTGCTAGACGGACGACCTGTTTCAACGGCTTATAAAAACAATCAATTATAATTCTCCTCTTATGCTCCAATTTACCGAAGACTCAAGTTGTTAGTTATTGATAGATTGCTAACCGTCATTCTCTTTTAGGTCCAAGGGTTTTTAAGCTATCAGTTATGATTACCGATAGATATCAACATCTTCCCAACACTTTATATTTCATCTAAACTTGATGAGCATGACCCATCAGAAGATAATGTCCATCGATAAATCTCTTGTTTCTTTAGTTACCATCAAATAATTTATTTATGCGCTATAAACCATCACAAACTGGTGAAAAATATAATAACATGTAGTTTTATAATATTAACTGATAGTTTTTTTACTGTCAGAAATAGTCTAAATTTCTTTAGTGTTAATTTATAACAAATATAATCCTCCAAAATTAAGATGTCTGATCTGAAGATACGAGAGCCAATATGGATCTTCATAGTAGGCTTTGTGGCACTTGACAATATAATTTTGAATGTCGAGCAAGAAATTTCTATTTCTTGACATTTGCATGTTAACAATTAAGGTGATGATATATCTCTTATAGATATATTCTCATCATTCAAATCAATATAAAAATATTTTTCTAAGAGATGAACTAGTCTTAAGATAATACTCTTCATATTTGACACGAAATTAACAATGGAAATAAATTTATGCTTAATTTTCACTTTTCAACCGGATAAGAATATTACATTCTTCGTTCACTGTTACTTTAGAGTCATCTCCAAATGATATATTGCCACCCTCCAATTTGTCAATCTACAAGAACATGATTTTTCTTCAACACATATGGTTGCTTGTATTGGTGTCCAGATACCATGCATTTTCATTCTTTTCTTTCTCCTTATATATATATATATATATATATATATATGCAGTAGCAAAGTACCATCTTGTTGACTTCTCTATTCTGCATAATTAGCCTCCTCCTCAACTTTACTGTTATTGGGAGTTCTTCATTCTTCGACATAGAGAACAAACTTTTTTATATATATATATATATATATGCAGTAGCAAAGTACTATCTTGTTGACTTCTCTCTTCTGCATAATTAGCCTCCTCTTCAACTTTACTGTTATTGGGAGTTCTTCATTCTTCAACATAGAGAACAAACTTTTGACAATTGTAACATCACTTGAGACTTCTCATACCTTGATATTGATTTTCCTCTTCCACACCCTCTTGTTGAGCTTCCTCATACAAAATTGATATTATTTTTGTTGTCATTGTTGGAAGTACCACCTTGCCCATGTCCATGGCCACGGCCTTATCGAGTCTTCTTGTCATTCTTCCTTAAATCTTATAGACTATCCTTTTGGGTTTTGTATAGACTTGACTGTTCTTGTGACCCGTTGTAGCATTTTTCTACAATCTCCCATACATCTTCCGCTTCGAAAAAGGTCATTCGTCTTAATGCTCCAATTGTCATAGTTGCTATTTTTAAACGTTGGGACTTGATATGGGATCGTACCATTTCTCGTCAACACTCTAGAAAGAATCTTATGGCTCTGATACCACATTGTTGGAAATAAAAGACTTATAAGAGGAATGCTAAGAAAGAAGATTAACAACTTGAAAGACTTACTTTTATTTCAATATTTTTCTTTCTGATCTAAAACTCAAACACACCATCCTTATTTATACTAGTGAAACTCTACATTAAAATTGTACAAACACTTCAACCCTTTAACTACTATTGACTCTAGAATTTTTTTCAACTTTTATTACAGAAGTTATTACATATATATTCTAGAATTTTCTATATCACTCTTTTAAATTATGTCTCTAAATCCTTTAAAATTTTCTTTCTAAAATGAATCTAGAATTCTCTAAAACTATTCTAGAATATGGTCATTTATAGCCAAATTTATTAAGAGTAAAAAATGAAGTTTAATTTTCAACAACTAGGAATGAAGAGTTCCACTTCAAAGTTATTGATCAATCATCTTTAAGGTAGACATGACCAAATTGAGTCTGACTTGTGATATTTCATCCAAGCATAATATTCAATAGCACCCTACTTTCTACTTTATGCTGTGCTCTTTTATGACTGATCTCCACTATTTATTTGTAATTAATCCTATGCTCCCATTTCAATTTAGATACAATTTAGGATAAGCTTATATCCTTAAAAAGAAGCAATACTAAAAGTTAATTAAAACATCTAAAAATCATGTAGTACGATTTGATTCGTATAAAATCAAACAAAGATAAACGAAAGAGAAAAAGGAGAAATAAATCAATTGAAACAACTCTGATAAGACTGCAGCAGGTGATGAAGAACAAACAAGAGTTAGTGAAGGAAAGGGGAAGAGATTGGAAAGGGAAGAGATAAGGGACGGGGAGAGATGAATGGAACTCATGAGAATTTTTTGCCCGCAGAAGCTAGAAGCCTACGACAGCCAAGTTCATGCACTTGGATCAATTCCCAGCACTGGTCAATGGCAGCCTAGGAATCTTCCCTAGGCACTGCACAGCACTAGATTAGGCCACTAAGTTGGTTTTTTTTTTATAACTAAACCACCAACATTTATTAATGGAATAATGAAAAGTA